CCACCCAACCCTGCACGCAGCGGCGGAATAAAAAGACCGGCGTGGCCCTGGCACCCAGGAAGTCCTGCATCCCCTGCACCACGCTGCCTCGCCAGCCACCCGGCCTGCGTTAAACGTCTCTGCGCCGCCCTCCCAATGAATTCTGTGCCCGGGAAGACGCGGTTAGGGGCACAGCGACATTGGCCTCTTTGGGTCTTTATTCCAGTCCTGGAGCTCTGGAGGGCCTCCCTTCTGCGCACTTGGCGGGGGCACGCTCGAAGGCAGTCTCGGTGCCATTTTAAACAATACAGATTAAAAGAGAAACTGGGTAGAGTCAAATCCCCGCAGCTGGGGGGGCAGCCGAGTTCTCGGGAGCCTCATTTTTTGGCCCCCCTCTGCTTCTTCTTGACCACCTTGGTCTTCTCATCGATGAGCCTCAGGCCCTGCTTCTTGATCTCCTCCCGACCGGGCACGTAGCTGTGGTCGATGTCCGCAAAGTTAAATGCTTCTGTGGGGGGCAGAGAGAGACCAGGAGCAGGCAGGCCTACGGCATGGCGAGCAGCTCGCTAAGCGGCATGGGATGTGCGGGCCAAAACATGAAACTGCATCGGGGGGCCAGGAGAAGAGAGAGTTCCTTGCTTAGGCTCCCCCCCCCCCAGATATTACAGGCAGACCTCGCTTAACAACCCTAACTGGGGCTGGGAACTCTGCTGCTAAGCGGAGCGGTCACTAAGTGGGAAATCACATGACTGCGACTGTGCTTTCTGGCTGGGAAGAGACAAGACTAGTCAGTTTCACACCTTTGGCGTTTGTTTGCCGCCCAACCGCTCCCGGCCCTTTGGAAGGCCCCAGTGCCCGCTTGCTGCCTTGGTCACCTCGAAAGCCACGTGATCACGCCAGCAGCCCGGGGCTGGGAGCCACAGGCACGCTATGCAAATAGCTTACTCTCTTGAAATCCCTTTTTCTCCAATTTCTCTGCTGGGGGGGAAGGATCAGGCAAAGGAGACATTGCCTACAGAAATTGCTTGCTTTTTTCCTCCCCCCGCCCCCCTCGCAGAGCGGAGTGCGGATCCAGTGCGGCCAGCCTTCGCAGGGAGAAAACGAAAAGGGTATTTCACAGGACAGCTTAGGAAGAGGCATCAGCTGGGGATTGTAGTTCTGGGTGGGGGGAAACTAACTCTGCAAGAGCCCCCGAATGAGGCTCAACCCACAGCTGCACGACGGCCGAGCGGGATCTGCTCGGAGCACAGCCCTTGCCGCCCCCCACAAGACGGTACGGACCTCGGACATCCTCTTCGTCCTCATCGAAAGTAATTCTCAGGTTCTGGTGCTCCTCTCTAGTGCTCTCCTCCAGGAAATTCCTGAGGTGGACAAACGTCTGTCCAGATTGCAGATTAGGGTTAGAAGGTGGCAGGCGAGAGACCGAAGCAGGTGATGCACAGAGGCACTGCCATGTTCCCCAAACGACACGCGTGTCGCCCCGCGACCCCACTGGCTGGGCTCTTTTTGCCCTGCAGCGGGAAGCGGGCAAGCCGGACCGGGCTGAGCCAGGGAACGGGGGCTAAAACGTCCGAAGCCAGCGCAGAGGCTAGGGAAGACTTCTGGCTGAGCTGGGGAACATCACGCCTTCCAGAGGCGGAATCAGGGTCCTGCCAGTGCCAGAATGGCATTTCCTCTTGCTCCCGGCCAGCGTAAAGGGGCTTTGGGAGAAGACTCACCTCATTGCTGTCTTCTTGGCTGAAGTTGTACGAGGGCAAATTGAGAGTCATTCGGCTCAGGTGCAGAAGTTTCATTTCACAGAACTGCAGCTTCTTGAACACGTCCTCCATCTTGGGGAACCCCTCCTAGAAAGCAGGGGATGAAGGCCCGGGGCAGACCCTCTGCATCTGGAGTTGAAGCTGGGCCCTCCGGCTTCCAACCTGTTTCTCCGCAGAGAAGGGGCACAACCCAAAGGGATGGACGACTTCCCCCAGCCCTCCGAAGGTGGGGTCGGGCAGAGAGGAGGGAGAGGCCATGGGCAGAGGGCTTCCCGGAGGCCTGCTCTGGATCACGGCTGGGGGGCTGCTGGCTAGGAAAACCTTTCGAGAGCGCAACAGACCTGGCCAGGCACGCTGATGTCACACAGCCTCATGATCAGGTTGTCAACCCCATTCTCGAAGTGGAGGAGAAGCTCCTGGTTTCTGGAGACATGGTCACGGACCCGCAAAAGCCTTTCTTCCTCCTTCTCCAGGTTCTTCTGCAGATTCTCTTCTAGCTTCTTTGAGCTGGGAGGAGAGGCCACATTATTTTTTGTGCGGGGAGCAACTGTGGCCAGAGGTGGTCCCGGGAGGCTTCCAGTCCTGGCACCTCCGGCTCCGCTGAAGCGCTGGCAGAGCTCGCGGCAGGTACCTGAGGAAGCCCAGGGACTGGTGGAATTTCAGCTGGGCTCGCTCCAGCTCCAGGACCCGCAAGTGGGCCTTGAGGTCTCGCCGCTTCTTCTCCGATTCGGCGATCTGCTGCTGCAGGTTCTCCTCAGACTTCTTCTGGGCCATGAAGCGCCCAGCGATATCCTGGCAGGGAAGGGCAGAAAGAGGGGGAAGAGCAGCTGGCGTTTGTGGGGCCAAGCTTGACAATCATTCGGAAGCCCCTTCCCCACACTTCACCTCCCCAACTCGCCTCCTCTCCCCCTACGTCAGAGTTCCCCTTTGAAGTATGGGCACGGGCCTCAACTGAGGGGCAGGGGCTTGAGAAGAGGGGGATCCTCCCAGCCCCCCTCCCAGAGACCAGAGGGCTTTTGCATGCAAGCAGGAGCGCTCCACCGGGTCAGAAAGCGGGTTGTTTTCACCAGTTTAAGCAGTACGAGGGTGTCTGATGAGGACTTCAGCAGCTCCGGCTCACGTCTGAAAGAACTAATAAAACGCAGCTCCTGACGGTATTTTTGGAGAATAAGAAAAAGGGGCAGGATGCGGGGCTGCTGAAGCTCCCCTCTTACTGCTCATGGCTGAGCCTTGGAGGAATCCAGATCAGGGCAAAGGAACCAGGAAGGCAGGGCCGGGGCAAGCGGGCAGAGGGTAGAGCCACTGTACGTACCCAGAGATGTGAGCACTGCACGGCACTTTTGATCTTCTCTACCTCGGTGGTCACCAGACTCTGGTACTCAATCTGGGCCTTGGAAGCCTCCAGCTTTGCCCCTGGAAGAACAGAACACCCAGAAAGGCCTCTCCAACGAGGTGCCCTCCGGATGCAACACCCGCCACCCCCAGGCTGTAGCCTTTCAGAGGAACCCTTAAATTAACCCTTAAAGGAACAGAACGTCTGGCTGCAAACCGGCATATTTACCCCTCAATCCTTCGTGGATGATCAGGGAAGGGAACTCCACGTCTCGCCGGGCTTGCTGAAAATAAAACCAAACAAACGAATGAGGGGAATGGGGCTCTCGCAAAAGGCAGAGGCGCCTCAGGAAGCCCACTGGGGGGCTCAAGGCATCAGCCCTCAACCTCCTCTTTGTCCCCCCCCCAGGCATGCTACCTTAAACGTGGAGGGTCTCCTCAAAGCCAGTAGCCGAATCCTGTACTGGCTTGTTAAAGAAGGCTAGCGTGGCTCCAGATGCCTCCAGAAGGACTGACTCACCATCCGCCGGTGCCTCTCACTGGCATCCTTCATGCGGATCCGTTCTATCTGTTTCTTCTGGATGCTAAGCGAGTTTTCCCTGAATTTTTTCTCGGCAATTAGCTCGTTTTCTGTGTTAGTCATGTCCACCTGTGACAACAGGAGAGGAGTGGGTGGGAGCGGCGGGGAGGAGGCTGAGGGGACAGAAACCTGCACCCTTTGCTCTCACCTTGGCAGCCTCCATGGCTTCCAACATATCGATGGCCATCAAGTCCATTCCCTTCAGTTCCATCTTATAGATGCTCACCCGGCGCTCCAAGTCATCCAGGATGAAAGGAAAGTGAGAAAGTTCCTGGAGAGAGGAAAAGACTCTGGGAAGCAGCGTCGGGCAGAGGTGGGAGGCGCCCTGGTCCCAAGTGCAGCCATCAGGGCCACAGCTGGAGCAGGAGGGAGTTCAGCTGTGTCTCGGTCCTTCGTCTCTTTCTACTTTTAGAGCCCACAAAGTGAACGGGCTGCAGATCTGTTACCCAAGGGGAGTGCTTCTGGCCACAAGCCCAAAGGGTATCCCTTGGGGCCTTCAGAATGGGGACCACCCTCCAGGCATGAGGACAGAGGGAGTTCCGCCATTTGGATCAGACCCAAGTCCCTCTGCGAGCAAGATGACTCCATGCAGAGGCTGACCAGAGGCAGCCAAGCTGGACTCACATCTCTCAGGACGTCCAGCATCTTCACATACAGGATGTAGATCTTTTCTGCAGTCACAACGTTGAAGTGCATCTTCTCAATGTTATTCTCCAGCTGACGGATTGTCTGAGCACGCAAAAAAGGCAGAGGAAGACATCTCTCTAAAAAAGGCAATGCATCCTTTGCATCGTCTGGATGAACAGCATCCTTGAAGCTCAGACACGAGGCTTCACTGACATTTACCTAAATGGTCTTCCCTAACTTGGGTTGAACGGCAACTCCTACCACCTGCGGGCTGACTGGGCCTATGGCCCAGCACGTGTGGAGAGGAGATCTTCAGAACTGATCATCCTGCCAGCTGCCTGCCGTAAGTGCTTCCCAGAGCAGGAATTTCCCAGGGAGCAGTCTGGGATCCTCCGGCCCAGGGCCACGCAGCCACCCCTCTCACCTGGAGCTGGATCCGGGCCTCAGGACTGGCCGTTTCCAAGTCGATGAGGTCCTGCAGCGTCGTCTGGAGCTCTTCGAGGCGTTTCCCCCGGCGCTTGACTTCGTGCAGCAGGATATTGTGGGTGTTCATCCGATCAAAGACCCAGTTGCTCAGGGTCTCTCGTGCTTGCTGTGATGGGGTGGAAGGGCATGTTGAGGAGACCCTGAAGGAAAGGTGATGGGGGAAAGCTGTGCTTCTCGGTTACCTCCACAGTATATTCAGCCAAAGCCATTTTCACCCGCTTCTCTCGGCAGGCCTTGTTGATTGTGACGTGGTCATACTACGGGGAGCACAGAGAGGGAGGGTGAGGGACTGGAGAACAGGTTTCTGATGGGGACACAGCTGGTGCCACCCAACAGGGCAGCGGGCAGGCTGAGAGGGTTTGAAATTAAACAAGCCTCACCTCGCCTTGCCTGTTGTTGTCCCCCTTGCTCAGGACTCATCTAAGCCTGGGAGAGATCCAGACCTCTTACCTTCAGCCCAAGATCCAGCTCGTGCACGTCCTCCCGGAGGGTAGCGCGCAGAAAGCCAATCGTGTCCCTGTTTCTGCACACTGCTTCCTCCCTTCCTTGAGTGAAGAGCCTTTTCCCTTGATCTGGAAAGAAGCAGAAGGCGGAGGAGACTCACAGGGGCCATCGAGGGAAAAGGGGTGCTGGGCCAGGCAGACCTCGAACCAGAGCCAGTAAGACCCTTCTAGGAGCTCCCCAGATAAATACAAGCCCCGGAACGAACACTTCAGCTAATGTGACCGGTGCCAAAGGCCTGCCAGAAGCCTGAAACCCTGCAGATCCACCAAGGTGAACGCACTCGGTGGGCCAAAGGAGGGTTACCTTGCATGTGAATGATGGCCCGCAGGTCATGGATTTGCTCCTTGAGGTCTTTCTTCCTCTTGAACCTCATCGTGGCCCTTTGGATCACGTCTCGCTGAGCTCCTGAAAAAACCCCGCGCCCAGAGGGTGCAAGCAAAGCTGCAGCCTCCTGGTCTGGCCCACCAGATTGCTCTCTCTTGTTCCGACCTGGGTTCGTGCAAGACTCTGCTGCAGCTCTATGACATCTGATGGGAGATTGTGATGCCTTTATGCGTCACCGGGTTCTAAAGATCCCCCGTGGAACCCCGTGAGGGGTCTCCCGGTCAGAATTCTGCCCCGAAGAGCTGGACGATTCTCCCGGGGCTGCGGGGGCTGGCCCAGAGACCCTGCCGCTTCTCCGAGCGGGTCGTTCCCAGCTAGGGAGGGAAATGGCCAGCTTACCATCTGACCGAGGGGGCCACCAGATCCCCTGCAGGGGAAGGCTCCCCATTCCAGTTTGGCCCTGCTTAACAAAGGCTTCTGGAGCTCTGCCAGCTCCTGGTTCCAAGCTGGCTCCATCCGTAACGCCTGAGGCTGAGTTTCAGCTTGGGCTGCCGCTTCAGCCCATCAGCCCTGAAAGAGCTGCCTCCTGGTTCTGCGCGAATCTCCGTTTAGCCCAAGCGATTGCCTTTCCCAGGCCATCGGGCTAGCTGGCCTGTTTCCCGTGTGATTGGCTAAGCCGCCCATCATCTCAGCCGGCAGGGAGTGGTGCCGCAGATCTGCTTACAGAGAATGCATCTCTGATTTCGGTCCTGTCAACAGCCTGGTGAATCCTGGCTGCTGGACTTCAATAACATTGCATGTTTAGAATCCAACGTCCAAACTGGAAACCTTGGAAGGTCGTTGTCCCCCACTGTTTGCTTTAGTTAATTATTCCTTGGAACAAACAGTGCTTGGGTGTCTGCAGGCTGACAGAAAGACCCCAAGTCCGGGTGCCTTTGGCCAACCCAAATCAAAGCAAGAATCTCTAGGAATGGCTGCCGCAGGTGGTGCTCTGCAAAGGACGAGGGGACCCCAAGGCAGCCGCGGTCCAAAAGAACGTTACAATTCTGCAGTCAAGGCTGGGGTTTGGCGAGACCCCGTCTCAGCTGGGTGAACTGGGGGACAATTGGAGGGAAGCCACCTCTTCCCCTTATCCAAATAGATTTCTCTGTCCCCCTCCTCTGAAGGGAAATGGGTTCACACGCACCCCAAACTCAACTGGGAGGGTTTCTGCAGGAGACCCGCTTCCGCGGGTCCTCAAACACACACCTCCAGCGCGAGGCCGTTCACCCTCAGTGCAGCCCCGAGACCAAAGTTCGTATTTCCTCATGCTAGAAAAACAAGCCATCTCCAGCACAGATCAGAGTTGCCTTTAGAGGTCAAACAGAGCGGAGCTAACCCCAAAGCCATGAAGCCACAGGCGCTTCTGCTCCTCTGCGCAGCCGTCTTCCTCTTGGCCAGCAGCAGTCCAGTCACTCCGGCTGACCACATCCAAATCCAGGAGGGTTTTGACGAAGCGAGAGTAAGACCCCTTTGTGTTGAAATGAGGAATGGGCTTCGTACAGGCCTCTGGTTGCCTTCCTAGATACCCAGTTAGAAAGCTCCTCCGGTCCCTGGAGAATCTCAGCCTGCAGATAAAAACCCCTCGCCTTTCTCTGTTTTAATATAGCTGGGGGCTTTTAAAGCTCAGCCTTTGATTTCCACGTGCTGAACCTCTGATTTGATTTGATATGAACCACCTTGCTGTTTGCGGTTAGTCACACGCCTCCAAAAGAGAATAGCGAGGGCTCAAATTCCAGTTTCAGAAATATCATAGGGACCCCCCGCCCCAACAGGGGACTGCGGCATAAGGAGAAACATCCACCTTTAGGGAAGCTGGAGGGGAACCGTGCAGAAGCCTGGTTTGTGTTGCAAGGCCAACAGGGACCGTTGCTTCAGAAGAACCTCTCTTTTTGTTTTCGCCAGGTCTATGGGAAATGGTACGCCATTGCGTTTGGCACAACCTGCGAGTGGGTGAAGAAATACAAGGACCAGTACCTGATGGGGACTCTGGTAGTGGGACCAGGGAAAACGAGCAGGGAGCTCTCCGTCACCTCCACAAGGCTCCGGTAGGTTCAGCCCGGCAGGCGGAAGGAGGTCTTCCAGCTCCCTGCTGGAGAAAGGGCGCCCAGTCCTCCTGTGCGCCAACAGAGGGGTACCTGGGCCCCTC